GAACTATTTTGCTATCAAAGTATGCCTAGTTGTACAAATGACTGCAAGTTTGATCACACAATAGATAGTCCATAAAAAACCTACTAGCACAACTGCCTTTGCACATGCAGTAAAACCTAAAAGCATTCTGGACTGAATCTTTAATCAGTGCTTAAATTGTCCATCTACAATACAAAAATCACACACAGCCACAACCTAGAATTAACAGGGTGGGAAAAAAAAATAGCTCACAACAGCCAGGCCATAAGTAATGTCCAGGTGTCTCTGTGCCTTTGTTTGGTGCTAAAAAGATGACATAGTTGGTGCCAGATTAATGACCTTGGCAAGAGGAATCTGCAACCATGGGGCTACAACGGAAATAGCTTCTTCCCAATCCAAACTTCACTTGTTGAGAGAACAAGGGGAGGATTTCTGCTATTGATCCCAGGTACTAAACAGGTTCATATGGAGATAACTGCTATTATGTCAAATACAGCCCTCAGAGGATCTTGGATGTAAAGACCTACAGAGCACAATGTAACAGACAAAAAATGAGCACAAATCCATCAAGTCTTTCTAATTTGAATCTGAGGTGGAAAATGTATATTAGCTGCCAATAAGGATGCCAAACCTCTTCCACAACCCTCTGTGCCCACTCCTTGAACTGCCAATAAAAGGCTGTTAGGAGAAATTGTGATACACAAGGCTTCTGCTCAACGTATAACTAAAATAAGTGACAATGAAATGGCAGCCTACAAATAAAGGCTGTACAGCAACCAAAGATGGATATATGTATTTGGATGTATTTGGCAACATACATAAATTGGTTTGGAAACACATATATTGGTTTGCTAATTCTATTAACAAAGGATATTGTTCGTAAGATCATATGGAATCAATACACAGCAAAATAACCAGGATTTTGTTTTAATGCCTGTGAAAGTGTAGAGACGCAGTGATGTTTATGAAACATGCAATGTGAAGTCTGGGTGCCATTAATTCAATCAGGCCCCTTCTGGCAGATTGCCATGGGGTCCACCCAGCATCCACTTGATGAGTTTAGGGCTGCAAGAGAAATTATTCTGGCTTGCATTTTAATATAAATCATCACTATCAGAGTTTGGAAACATTATAAAACAGCTACTATGCTGGCATTAATTGTTGTGTCTGTTTACAACACATAAACATTAGTACAGTAAATGGGATTAGAAGTGACAAGTTTTTCTTCTTGATCATTCAAAAAAATCTAAAAATTGAAAAATGGCCAAAATTGAGCAAAAATGTCAACATAACACTGGGGAAATAACACATAGCCTTTATTCATTACTCCCAGAAATATGTGATGTAGCTAAAGCCCAGAAAAAGCTAGTATTGTGGTCCCTTGCTATCCCCCACCTCTCAAAAAGCATTATACTGAAGTTAATAATTCAACTTATAAGAAGTTACCTCCAAGGTGTAAACAATTTGCAATTCCTAAAATAATACACAAACCTTTCTCCATCAGAAGTATGTATACCACAGAAAATATTGCATAAGAAGACATATATTATGGGAAAGAGCTTGCTAAAATATGTACATTAGGGGAAAATGTACAGTATACTGAAATGCAGACACTCTTTAATGGATTTTTTAAATGGCAAACTTGTGCCAAAATATGGAAGAATGGCTAGTGGCTGATGAAAATGTGAGCATTGCAGGAAGCAAAACAAATTAATTCATCTTTCCTTGGTTATACTTTATGGTGGCACTCCATATCAGCCTCCTGGCATACTGGTTCCTATAGATTCTACCAAGGGCTGTACCAACTGCTTGCAGCTGCCAAAATCCAGAAGCAACTGCAGCAGTTTTCTACAGTCTGGGAGGCTGTTAGGCCACCCATCCACCTCAGAGATCCCTGTCTGTCTGCAGCACAGAGTGTTTCCTTTCCTTCCAAAATGGGAAAACAAAACCAGATTTTGGTGTTGTTCTTAGGGCACTGCTGGCATTAAATGGGAGCAGCAGGGACCACAAAATTGGCAAGCTGCATGAAATTGGCCCCCACCACCACTGGCACAAAGGTCTGCTTCCTTTTATGTAGAGACAACATGATTCACAGAACATAATACAGATGGGGGGGTTTCTACTTCTACTTCTGTGGATTTGGCATCCGTTGTAGAGACATTTGGTGGGCTTTAGGAGGGACACAGAGAAGCAAAATAGGGAAAAACTATGCAATCCTAATGCTTACTGTATAATCCACAAACTCCCTACTGGAGATATTCAAAAGTCTTTGTTACCAGTTAAAGCTCACGTTTTTCAGAATGCTGAATTCTGTGTTCTGTACAAAATGCTGTAATCCTGTGTTGCAATCATTAAATTGGTCATGAAATCACAACATCAAGCAAATTAAACAAATTCGAAACTACTGTAATCTTGTCAGTATAACTGTATTTGTTATTTGCAATTCTTTCAAGACGTTGCCCTTCTTACAAGAAATTCAGTTCCTAGCAAGGCAGCAGTCTCCCATGCCACAGAGCATGAAACAGAGTAATCTGTAACACAGCATGCAGGGGTCACCACAAAAGGGGGGAAGAAAACCATCACACCAGGCTACCGTAACTCCTGTGTGATAGCCTAGCTGGGTCCTTCAATCTTTAACTGTCTTGGTTAGATATTTAGGACTCTGCAAGTGGCTTCAAGTATTCTTCCAGATTTTGAAAATGATTATGGAATTCTTGCAGGGATCCCTAGCTAAGTCACTGGCCCCAGATCTGATCTATTACTCTGCTATAAAAAATGAAGGAGCCATGTTGATTGATGGATCCAAGGTCCTTCAAGGCTAGCATTCTGTTTACAACAGCAGCCAAGAAAATGTCTCTCAAAGCTTCCAGGAAGAACATAGAGGCAATGGCCAATCCATTATTCTTTGTTCCCAGGATTTAGTTCTCAGATGCCAATACTGACTATCATAACCATCAAGTCACTCTCAAACCAATACTCTGTTTAGGCATAAGACATCATCCAAATATGGTGATCCCATGCTATCAGGAGCTAATGAATGTAAACATGAATAAGGAATGGGGGCAGGCACAGCCCTGAGCTTTGTGACATCCCAAATGCATAACAGTGTGTTGCAGCCTAAATAAATGTTAAGGTGGATGAAAGGTTCCCTCTAAGTTGGGTGCACGCGCACATACAACTCCGCCTCCCTCTGTGCAGTTCTCTTCCTCCCCTGCACAGCAATCATGTTTCATTCCAGTAACGATGGAACCCTGTGAGTGAGGGGGGACGGAGGTCCATGCATGCAGGGGTGAAGTCGTGCAGAGCCCTGTTGCAGCCTAAATAAATGTTAAGGTGGATGAAAGGTTCCCTCTAAGTTGGGTGCACGCGCACATACAACTCCGCCTCCCTCTGTGCAGTTCTCTTCCTCCCCTGCACAGCAATCATGTTTCATTCCAGTAACGATGGAACCCTGTGAGTGAGGGGGGACGGAGGTCCATGCATGCAGGGGTGAAGTCGTGCAGAGCCCTGCCCTGCAGGGGGCGGAGGTCTACGCATGCAGGGGTGAAGTCGTGCAGAGCCCTGCCCTGCAGGGCTGAAAATTATAAGACATGTTGGCTGGATGCATATCTGTGCCACAGCCTCCTGTGCCCATTCCTGTAGTCCCCACATGTCCCCAGTGGGGAAAAAAAAATCTGCAAATGCATTTTAATTTTCCACACCTAAAATTTTCTAATAAAGTCTCTTAAAAACCTGCAAAAAATAGATTCAGAAGTAGACTTTCAACAACTTGGAAGACTCATACAGCACCTGATGGCATTCTAGCCATAGAAAAACTGGTCCAGTAACTGGCTGATATTCCCAACCTCTGCATGGAGTACTCTTTCCTGATAGTAGGTACCGTATTTTTCGCTCCATAAGACGCACCTTTCCATAAGACGCACCGATTTTTTAGGAGAAGAAAACAGGAAAATATAATCTGTTTTCTTTGCTCCATAAGACGCACAGACTTTCCACCCCCCTGTTTTGTGGGGAAAAAGTGCGTCTTATGGTGCGAAAAATACGGTATATGGGTCCAAGTGAACCAAAGCTTATTGTGGGGTGAACATCCCCAGTTCCTTGTACTTCTCTACATTATCTCTACATTTTTACATAGGATAAGTATGGTTGACTATGTTTTATGCCAAAACAAAACACTGGACTAAATGTAGTTAGTTATGAGCCATCTCAAAGAGGACAATCTCTACTTGCACCTCTAATTTAAAGTGGATTTTTACAGAGTGGCCTAAAACTTATGGATGACCTTCTCAGATTGTTATTCATTTCTACATGCTGTTATTACCACGGAGGCATAATGATGGGCAATGTCTGACAGTGTCTGTAGCTCCCTTTCTGTTTGGTTGGAGCATGGCTCCTCCTATTTCAGTGCCTGGGAATTCTCGGGAACCACACAGTGTTTGCATAGATCCCTTAGAGGCAAACCAGTCTGTGGTGCCTAGAGTTGTTTCTTCTATCTGACCTATAAGAAGGCTCATTTGAAAATTAGGGATTATAGTGAAGGGACACATTTTCCTCATTGAGCTAGACCAGTCTTCCCTAACCTGGTACCCTCCAGATGTTCTGGGCTTCAACCTTCAAATTCCATGTTAGCTAATGTTGATGGGATTTGTGGACCAAAAACTTCTGGAAGGCAGTGTGTTGTTCCTTACATTAGGCTTACTGCTGCTTACAACTGTACTTAAATTTGCATGTACTTTTCTTACTCTTTACCAGATTATGAGGAGAGGTCCATGCCTGGCATAATACAAGTTCACTGCACAAGTGATCATGTCTGCTTATAGCTTTGAGAGGAGCTTAAGTGATAGGATAAAACCAGAGGTTTGCAAAAGGTTCTTTTTACTTTTGGGGGGGACTCAAGGTGGATGGGGACTACAACTCCCATAATATGCCAATGAGTCTGGCCTGGAGAATGAAAGGTACTTCTCTCTTCTGAAACAAAAATAAAGAGAAAGAGGGAGGGAAAGAGATTTCCTTTTCCTTACCAGTCCATCACAATTGCTAATGGCCACTGAGGCTTCTGGCATGCCTGAGATCCCTCCGGTGAAGATGCATTCCTGCTTGAGGGGTTCCTGATAGACCTTTTGGAAGTCTTCTTGCCATTCCGCCAATGCACCAGGGGAGACCAGCCGCCGGTTGGGCTTCAGGCGGAGGTGCAGTTCCTTCCCAAAAACAGTAACGTTGAAGTAGTACAAACGATTCCCTGGCATGCCTTGGTTGTGATGGATACTACGAATCACCCTGTGTTGAGCCGAGCGAGATGGAGCAGCAGAAGGATAGGCAGCTTCCCTCTTCCTTGCTGCCACTGAGCCAGACACCACGTGTGAGAGGAACTGTCCCTTGGAATCTGCACTGAAGGGCACAATCACACCATATTCGCTTAGCTTTCCAGACTGGAGGTGCTCTAGTGGAAATAAATACAGACATACTTCAATACATTCAAAGCAAAGAGAAATATTTTCATGGGTATGTTGATATGTTTGAGAGAGAAAAGCCTTTCCATAAACCTATGCATGCCTGTGACTCCACCCTCATGAAGCTTAGTCCCACTGTTAACCATTCACCCAAAGCAACTCACAGCAACTTCTTCCAAGAGAGCCATGTGAAAGAAACTATAGCTCAAGAGAATGGTCACACACAGGGAGAGCCGTGTGCCTACTCTGTTCTATTTTTTTTCCCAAGTAAAAATTCTGCACAAAAAGAGAAGAATTCATTCAGATGAATACCGAACAAATGCATGCACATACATAACATTTGGAAAACCTTTTATAACTGTTTTGCATAATATTAAATGTTTTACATGAATTCTGATTTTGCTAATGGTAGGGAAAGACAAGCTATGCAGGGCACACTGAAGCCCAGCCTCCTGGCCACTGAAAATCTTACTCAGAAATACCATCTCACACAACAGCTCCAGGAGGCACTGGTCACATACCGTACTGTATTTTGAAGGCCTAAGAGACAGAAACTTGACTGAAAAACAAATACTTTAGTAACTATTTTTTAAAATAAAAGTTGAGAATTTCAACATTTTTCATTTTATGCCCCAAACCAGTTTGCATTTCCTATGTTCTTGCAGAACTGCGCCATGCTTATAGTGTCAATGCACTTGCACATGTGGCAGGAACTACGTATTTCGCTTGTTACCCATATATTTGTATTCATCTGCAGCAATGTACAGTATTCATCCATTCTTTCTTCACATTTTCATGTCTGTTTTATACTTACACAGAAACATTTAAACCTCCAAACTTTGTTTCCAGTTGCCCAGAAACAACAGTGGCAGCAATTTTTATATAATGGGGGGGAAGGGCAAGTCTGAAAAACAGGAAGCCATTGCCCCCCTTCTCTCCTCCATATCCTCACTTGCAGAACCTTTGCTATTCCTTCCTCATAGACTGTGGTTTATGGAATATCAACTGGGTATGTTCAACATGGCAGAAGAAATTCACACTGACACACATTTATGCCTCTTACATGCCCGCCTAACACCAAGCATCCAAACTATTCATTGTGCAGCTTCCATGCAACGTCTCTCTAAACTACAGAATCCCATTGATTTTTTTAAAAGGATGTCAGCCTCATAACACATGTTGAAAAGGGATGCAGTTGGTCCCCGTGTGACACCTTTCTGTTCTGATCTCTCCACCCAGCGAAAACACCATGGTTGTAGCTACCATATTAAATGTCAAAATGCTTTTAACTAAATAAAATACACTAACAAGCATTGTCATCATAGAAACAAAAATCACTAAAGCGCAGTGTTACTGTGCTATTAAGGTTGTTGCTTAGAATCAGAAGTATAAAGCTACTCAAGAAATCTGACCAGCAGGCATTAGAAAAGTAAAATGTAGTGATCACTTTAAATCTGTGATTATAGCTTGTCATTCATTTCAATAAGATATGGAAGTCTGCAGACTATGTGTTCTCTGTCTCATTAAAAGTGTAGCTCTCCCCCTCCTTTTTTCTTTATCAAAAGAACATATGTTGCTGGTAGTATCAGAAATGCTATGCATCCGCTTAGCCCCTTTCCATTTAAAGGAGCAACTTTATACATACAAGTCAGATCATAATAATGATGTCGGTTCCGATTTATGGCAACCATTTTCAAGGTTTCCCAGGTAGAGAATACAGAAGAGATTTGTCATTCCCTTCTTCTGGGGGACATCCTGGGACTCTGCAGCTTGCCCAGGGCCACACAGGCTGGCTCAGTTCACAGGAGGCACAGTGGAGAATCAAATTCTCAACTCCCAGACTGGGCACATCTTTGCTCTCTTTCCGCAAGCAGGCAAAGACCTTTCTCTTCAGGCAAGCTTTTCCTCAGTGACTGGCTGCCCGAGTGGGATTTTTAAATGCACTATTATGTCTTACTGTGAATGTGTTTTTTGTATTGCTTTTGTTTACCATTTCTCAGAGTGGTATTTCTTTGATCCTTTTTAGCATTTGTATCCCAGACTGGGCACAGCTTTGCTCTCTTTCGGCAAGCAGGCAAAGACCTTTCTCTTCAGGCAAGCTATTCCTCAGTGACTGGCTGCCCGAGTGGGATTTTTAAATGCACTATTATGTCTTACTGTGAATGTGTTTTTTGTATTGCTTTTGTTTACCATTTCTCAGAGTGGTATTTCTTTGATCCTTTTTAGCATTTGTATACTTATCGTTTTTTAGCTTTCAACATGGTCTTTTAACAATGTAAGTTGTCATAGGTCCTTTTTAAGGAGAATGGTGGGATAAAAATATTTAAAATAAATAAACATCACACCTTACAGTCAGATACCTAAACTACAGAGCTCATAGCTATCTAGAAATAATCTGGGTCCTAGAAACCTGACTTTTCTCCATTTCTAACTGCATAACAGAGCTAAATGTCAGTAATGTCAAAGGTAAACATCAATATCAAAGGTGTTCCAACAGTAGATAGTATAAGGACCCTCTAAGGGCACCTTCTAACACAGTTCAGTACAGTGGTTTGGTACTTGATCTGATAGATGGCCAGTGGCAGACCTATATTTTTGGGATCCTGAAGCTTGAACTGTTATGGGGACCCCTTAACAATCTACAACAAGGTCTGGGTAACCACTGTTATCTTCTGCAGTGGAGTTCTTCCATGACAGATGACCAAGGTTATTTTTTTTCCCCCCAAAATGTGGACTGAAGTCACTTCTGGAGGCCTTCCAGGATTAGGAGCTTAAGCTTCATTAGCTTCATAGTAGATCTCTTCCTTTGGGTGGCCAAGGAGAAAACTGGCTTGGGCTTCTCCGTGATAAAGCAGCATTTGTGTGCCAGAGGGGCCAAATCAGACTCAAGCCTGAAGAAAAAGCTTTTAAATTCACAGGTTGTCACTTGGCAACCTAGCTGTGCTCACCAGAAAGTTTCCTTGGTGTCGATTCCAACCCGGCGCACACTGGATAGCAGCCTTCAGTGGGGGTGGTCCCTCCAAATCATAGGCACATTTATCCTCTCAAGTGACATCCCACTGATTGAGCAGGGGGTGTTTCGCTTTGTTTTTCCTTGCAGCTGAGGGGGCAAATGTACCCTTGGCTAGCACACTGAAACCAATCGTTCCTCTTTTCCCATGAGGAACCACTCTGATGATCAGATGAAGAGTTCACCCAGAACTTGCCTCCTGTTTCCAGCCTGATGCACCCCCATAACTTCTAGGAAAGCCCATAAACCCGTTGGCAAAAGCCGCGAAGTCAACAGCCTTCTCCGGCTGTCGGCATTCAAAGAAGCCAGGGTGTTTGGGACTGTGGATAGACTTTACAAATCTCACCCCACGGTGGCTGGCTTGGCTTCCTTTCCTCCTGCCTCTTTCCTCAGAGATATCACCACCAACCATAACAACAACAACAACTGCCATCACCACGCTCCCCTTCGCGGTCCCCAACGTCCCCTCGTTGGCCCAACCGGGCCCGGGTGTCAAACGAGCGCCGCTCCTACCTTGGGCTCTCGCTCCCCTGCCCGTGGCGAGCCAGCACTGGAGAGGAACCAAGCAGGACAGCATCACATAGAGAGGAGGATAATCCATCTGGGGAGGCTCGCGACGCGCTTTCCGGGGGACTCCAGCGCCTGGCCAGTCCGAGCGAGCGGGAAAAAGGAAAGTTGCTCCGGTTGGTTCCCTGACGGGGATCTGCTCCTTCGCTTGCGCTGAGGCGCTTGCCCCGGGGAGAGCCCCCCCCCGCTCTCCTGCCTGCCCTCCTGCCCTCGGACCCGAGAAGGATGCCCTGTCAGCGGCAGAGCCGAGAGAGCAGGAGCCGGTCCTCCAGCTGGCTCCGCCGCCGCCGCCGCCACCACCACCTCCGCCGCCGCCGTCTCACTGCGCTCGACCCGGGACGCGTCCCCTCCATGCAATGCAAATAGAAATGCAAAGCAGCCGGCCGACAGGGAGCGGGGAAGGGGGGAAGGAGGAGGAGGAGGAGGCGCTTGCTTCCTGCAGTGAGGCTGGTGCCAGCAGCTGAGGGGAGCCGGGTGGGCGGGAGGGAAGGGGAAAGCAAGCAGAGGGGAGGTCCGCGCGCGCCGTGACGCCGCCGACGCCGCCGCCGCCGCCGGTGAAGGGCAGCCAGGCAACCGGAATGGTGCAAAGCTGAGGGGGCTGCGTAGACCTCCTCCTCCTCCTCCTTCCCCTTCCCCGCGGGAGGCCCGGCGCGAGAGAGGACTTTCCATTGCACGTGGCGCTTCCAGCTCTGCGCCCCTGGCCATTGGCCGGCTCTCGAGCCAAGCTCCGCCCCTCCCCTTGGCGGGCTGCCAAGGGTTCCGACGGCGCTTTTTGCCCGTGATTCGGGAGATGGAACTGTCGGGACCTTACTTAACACGCGCTCCTCTTGTGCTCCCCGGTGGGAGGCGGGCGCGCCTTTCACTTTTTCTTTTGCAAAAACCTTACCTGTCCACTGAAACATCTGAGGAGTCACAAAGTTGTCATATGTGGCAGCCCTCAGAAAAACAGGGCTGCTTGCCGTTGGTTTTGTTTCATTGGCTCAGTTCAACGGGGGGGGGGATGCTTTCCCCAAATGCAGAAATGCTGCGATGGGAAGAAAGCTGTACCAGTTTAGCTTTCTGAGCCCCTCCCTTGTCAGGGGTCGACAAGGAGGGAGGAGTTCCATCTTCATAGGTAGCTCAGAAACTAGCTGGTTTGAATTTATGTTCTGTCTTTCTGTTATGTGCTGTCAAGTCACCTCTCACTTAACGGTGACCCAATGAATGAGAGCCCTCCAAAATGTCCAAACTTCAGTAGCCTTGGATTATCCAAGGTTGGGAACCACTGCTTTAAAGAGCCAAGCCATCTTGTATTTGGTTTTTCTCTTTTCCTGCTGCCTTCAGCTTTCATTCTTTGGCAGAGAATCCTGCCTTTTCATGATGTACCCAAAGTAGGACAGCCTCAATTTCAACATTTTTGCCTCCAAAGATTGTTCAGGCTTGATTTGCTCTGGGACCCACTTGTTCATCTTTCCTCAAAGCTCTTCTCCAGGACCACATTTCAAACAAACCAATTTCTTTCTTGTCAGCATTCATTTTTCTGTCCATCTCTTACATCCATACCTGGTGATAAAAAAAATACAAAAGTGTGAATAATCTCAGTCTTGGTCTCCAATGACACACCCTTACACTTGACGATATTTTCTAATTCCTTCATTGCTGCCCTTCCAAATCTCAGTCTTCTGATTTCTTCACTGCAGTCTCCATTTAGATTGATGATTGAAGCAAATCATACAAAATGTTTCAATATGTCAATTTCTTCATTGTCAACATTAAAGTTGCGTAGTTGTGCAGTCATTATTTTGTCTCCTTAATGTTTAACTGCAGTCCAAAGTTGTAAACATTAAAGTTGCATAGTTGTGCAGTCATAATTTTTGTCTCCTTAATGTTTAACTGCAGTCCTACTTTGGCACTTTCTTCTTGAACTTTCACTAAAAGTTATATCAAATCTATTCGCAAAGGCTTTCACGGCCAGGATCTAATGGTTGTTGTGGGTTTTTCGGGCTCTTTGGCCGTGTTCTTAAGGTGGTTCTTC